TCTTTGAGCTAGAGTCCAAGTCAAAGGTAAAGGTTAAGGTAAAGTCACTTGTGGTTATAATGAGTGTTGTATCATCTGCTGCATTCATTACAGGCTGCTTATAATACTGCATAGCTATAAGGAATTCTGTAACTTTAACCTGTTTTTCACTAACAGAGCACAACTATGTAATGTGCAATGCAATTAATCACAGCTTATAAACTACTGTAAGTCAACACATCCCCCAGACTCTCAAACCAGTGTAACGTTAACTAAATAAAACAGTAACGTTACATGATCAACAATAAACCTGTAACCTGTTTGCAGCCAACGTAAATAATTAATGTGATGGCAGCCAGCGGGACATAATGATTACATTAATCGACTGCCAGAACTTTGGCAAGCAAATAAACGCTCATTCATCTTTTCATAACGAATGACAGTCAGACATAACCGCTAAAGCAAGAAGCAAGCTAACGTTAGATGGCCAAACATGTTTACTAACCTCAGGTTACCTATTTTGCGTTGAGAGCTTCTTTTGTTTGGGTCTTTTTGTATGAAGTTTTAAAGTCAAAGTTTATGATGAATCCCACAGCAGCTGCTGGTGTTTGTTGTCCTCTCTCACGTGTGGCTGCGCGCAGCAGATACGCAGTATGTGTTACATAGGCAGGTTATAGGTAACGCAGGGAGGGGAATAACAGCAAGCTCAAAAGATGTTTCCTAAAAATAAACATTGTTCACGAGTCCCACACCTCGAGTCCGAGTCAAGTTTGAAGTCTTTTGAGAACGAGTCTCAAACTCGAGTCCCCATCTCTGCCATAAAGAGCCTTAAAAGTAATTAGTAAAATTTTAAAATATATCCTTAAATATACTGGAAAACAGTGTAAAGACGCTAAAAATGGGAGTGATTGATTTTGATCATATTATGTGATTTGTTAACAATAAGAAAAATAACATAGTGATCCATCTTTGAACTCTAAAAATCTCCATCAGTCATTGCCTTTTGAAATCTTCATGAAAAGCTGACTGTTGATACATTAATGCACTCACGCAAACAAGTACAAAAGAAAATCGACAGTTGCATGTTATTCACAGGTATCACACAGTGAGCAAATAAATTAAAGATGGCTTATATCCAGATAATAAAATAATATTAAGGCATCCACACTCAGAACATAATAACACATCAGCAGACAGCATGAAGGTAAACACCAAGTTAACTCCTTAAAAAAAATCTTCCAAGACAGTGAGATCCAAAAATGACAAGTGAGATAAAGAATGGTACACGTGGCTGGTACGCCTCAATTTAATTCTTGTCAACAGATAAAAATGGCCATTGCTGAGCAATGAGTCGTGCAGTTGTGTCAGACTATGCAGACAGAGAGGGTGGGACTGCAGGCTACCTGGAACAGAGCCAGGGACACTGGGTCACCGGGGTCAGAGCAAGCTGGCATGACTGGTGAAAGCACACAACAAGGCACACAAGCATGCACAATCACAGATACACACATACACACACACACACACGGTACGTTTAAAAAGCATGATTAAAAACACTGTGGAACTGATAACATTCCCGGCGATTTACATGAGCACACATGCAGAACATCTTTGCCCTCCTCCCTTCATTGTACTCTTGTGGTTAATCTTGTTCAGCAGCATGATGATTATGATAAGTCTAGCTGTAAAATATAAATGCAAATTCACAAGCATCTTCCCTGACAAACCTCTTGGCAAGAAAGTATCATTATATTCTTTCGGCAGAAGGAGATGAACATTTTAAAAAGAAAATACATTAAATCAGACAGACATTACCAATTTCCTTTCTGTCATCTGCCAGACTTTGTCATACTCTCATCCATCTGTTTCTGTGTAGTATTATGCATGTGGACCCATCAACAACAGCAGAACCCCTGGGCACGACTGTCTCATACCTGCTGAGTCTCCCCGAAACGCCTGCTGTCTTTCATCCTACCATGAGCAAAACAAGTGTTGGGCATTGGTGTTTTTTAAAACTGTATCCCGACTACAATGTCTGTTGATAATCATCCGCTCCCGTATGGTAGGTTTGTCACAGGACAGGTGTCTCAGCACAGGTAGTGTGGAGCATCAGCATCACACAGGAGTGTTAATTAGACACACCAACAATAGCGTCAGGGGTGCTGCGACTGACGTATGAAACTCCCACAGCGATTAGCACACACCAAAACGTTTTGACTCTGACAGGGTTTCTGTTCCTGAGTGCACCTGAGTGACTATCGTGGAAAGGAGTTATGGGAAATTTAGAGACAGGCGATGGAAACATAAAAATTTCATGCAAAGAACATGAAATTCATGCTGACTTGGAAAACAATGTAGTTGTGTCAATTACAAACGGGAGGCTGTTTAAACACAAAGAGAAAGCGAAAGCTGTCACAGTGAGAAATGATATCCCTGGTCCAGGTGATAATGTATAATAAATGCAGGCAAAGTTCCTGCGCTAGACTGATTCAATCTTCATCACAAGGGAGGCAGAATACACTGGGGAGCAATCTGAGTAAGTGCTTGCTCATTTACTTTGCCTTAACGAAGCAGAGAGAGCATGCTACACAGCCTCCCTCAGATGGAAAACAGGACAATTTGGACCATGGACTAAATATGCTGCATGCAAACATATAAACAAATTAGCCTACTTTGTAATGGGTAAAATACACTCATGCAGTAATTTAATTGCAGGAGTGCAGACTTAGAATTATGTACAATTTACACACTTTACATCGCACTCTTTCACTTTATACTGTTTACAGATTAGCTCTCGCTCTTGTCACATTGTGTAAAACACACACTAAAGCAAACACAAAAAGCACAGGGTTGCGGCGTGCACCACCCAACATCAATCTAGCCACATCCAACAGCTGCTAATTGACAGCAGTAAGTGGATAGCCAGAGGAGGGAGGGTATTTTAATTACACACCACATCTCCATGGTTACGCGGGCGAGAGGACGGAAGGCATGCCAACAGGTTGAGATGGAGATGAAGTGAAATAAAGGCGGGGGGGAATCATGGGATGACATTCTCACAGGCTTATTTCTGCTGAAATGATGTTAACCCTTCAGAAAATAATCACTGAGCACAGAATCATATTGTCCAGGCTCTGTAGCAGCTGGCCTTAAATACATATGGGCTGTGTATATAATAACAAGAGCTTTGGTGGTCTATTTTTGCTGGCAGAGTGTTGTGGAGAGACAACAGCATGCTCCATGACTGCTTGATCACAGTAAGTCATGTTTCATATCACGGCGCACTGTGATGGGATCTGAGGCACGGCTGCCTTGCCCTATTTTTTTTTTTGTACGATTCTGCTCCCTCTTTCACAATGCCTGCAGATTAGAAGTCAAAAGCCGGCATCTGCAACAAGAGCACTAATCCAGTCGGTTAGTTCACCTGTAGATCCTAATCCTTTAACGCCACGACCAAATGTGTGAAATTTGTTGTCATAAATGTGCTTATTTTTCCTGTATGCCGTTGGGCTTTCTGATAGGGGTGGGGTTGTGTCTCCCTCTCTTTTTCTTTGCTGCTTTTTGAATCAGAAGAAAAAGGGGGCAGAGGGCAGGTTTTCTGCCGTGATCTCTATCCCATATGTGATGAATTTTCAAATTCCTCTTAGCCATAAAATTGAAGTCTCCACCGTACCCCCTGCCCCCTCCATTTCTCACTTCGAACCTCTCCTCCCTTGAGTTTTATCAATTTGCACAATCTGAGTCCTCCTGTTTAGCCGTGAGTTGCGACGTGTAGATTATCTATGGAAGAGATAAAGAAAAAATGACTCCGGCTTTGCCTAAAATGACCTCAGATATTACTAGTTTACTTTCCAATTCTGCAAATCCAAAACAAGTTAGACTTTGAAATGCGAGCACTATATGCCTGACTTCCCAGATCTATCCAGCCAGACTCCATACAGACAAATTCCTATTCAAGCCTGGAAGGTCAGTGCAAGGCTAAAACTGCCTTTCACTCACAGCAGGGCCGAGTACAACTTGCCAGGGTTAGCTCTAATTGCGAGGTCCACAGCACTATATTTTTGCAGAACACTTTTCAAATATGTTTCCTTGCAAGAAAGGTATTGAAAGGTGCATGTTTGAATAGTATGTACTATCTGCTCTCAGCACTAAAGTTTTGACATCACATACCTGACATCATCTCTGCTCCCTGAACACAGTGAACTCTGGGCTCCAAATGAACAAGCTAGGAAAGTGCTTTTCAGCTCCGTGTAGAGCACTATAGAAGACTGCAGGAGCTAGAGTTCAAATCACCAACTCCACCCCTGATATTTCAGGGTACTCTAAGCTGCCCAGCAAGAATCAGGGTTATTTCTTTCATATTCTGTGCATATATTTTGTGAAATTAGTAGTGTACTCCCTTGAATTAATAATTTAGGCACATTGATTAAAACAACAGCAGCAACCTGTAATCCCATAAAATACATGAAAGGGATGTCAAAGATAACACTATGCTGTTCACAGCCAAATCCTGCAGTATTATCATATATCTCATTCTAAAATCAAAATAAAAGTTTTCAATACAAGGGGCCTAGTTAGTAGGGCTGAACAATTAATTGCATTTGCGATAATATGGTGATATAATAAAATTAAATGTTGTCATTGCAAAGGCTGCGATTACACTCTGGTCACATGCCACGCGACAGTGAAGCAGGCAGAGGAAGCATCAACTTTGCACGTTACGTTACGTTGTCCCTTGACTTGTACAGTGGCTTCAGTCTTGGTAAAACCTGACACCGCAGAAACTTTAGTGTCAAACAGGGAATAAAATCAGCACCCGCCAAATGCAGGTAAATTGTTGGTGGTGGTGTGGCGGGTCAAATCGTCAGGCCATCTGCCACTTTGACGGGCAGGGAAAATGCACAACAGCAAGACACATTAAGTATGGTTAGCCTGTTGTGTCACACACACACACACACACACACAGACAACCACCAGTCAGCTCAGGGAATATCTGTCACGGCGTTTCAAACCAAACTCACCAGTCCGAAAGAGGCCCAGTCTTTTCCTGAGTTACAGCCTAGTGCGCCAGTGTGCTGCTCACAAGCAGTATCTACCGGGAGCTCCGGTGTTGTCGGAGAATCACTAAGCTTGTCTATTAGACAGGAGAGGCGTCACTTGGTTTTATTTTCGTTGGCCAACTTTTGTATTCAACCTCAATTTGAGTATTTTTTGTTTGCTTGCTGGGATACAGAAAAGGAGGTTTTTGTTGAAAGATGGAGATTTGAACCAAAATAAGGACGCATTAATTGGTGGTTGAACTGTGGGTTTTGTGTTGAGCTCTTACTATATAATACACTGTGGTGAAATTGTTTTTTCTTGTCACCTGTAGGTAGGCGGACCTGGTGATATCATATGATTTTATTTAATGCCATGACTCGACTCTCAGATTATCTTATCTCATTTCAATTCATGCAATTCATGCATCACCTAATTTCATGTTGTTTGCTATTAGAATGTAGTATGGACTGTGGAGAGACGTAAGAGGTCCTGAAACTTCAGTTCCTACTGCTACAATGACTTAAAGGTATTCATCTGAGGAAATTAATTAGAAGACATTTGATTTAGTAATTAGAGGAGATATATTTTAATACAAAGAAACAAATTATTATTATTATTATTATTCCTGCAAATGATTTTTTTTCCAGAGACTACTTATCTGTGCAGTTAAGTAGGTTTAAATTATATAATATAATAATAATAGTTTAAATCACAGTAAAACATGAATTGTAACTGTAAGTTACTGTGTAGGGTTTCATCTGTCATTGCTGTGTGTGTAAGAATAACTGATCTGTTGTTGTGTGCTGTGTACTTTTACGTCACTTTTGAAAGCCTTAGGCGCCCCTTTAGTGTCACTTTTAAACATTTAAGGCTCTGCGGTCAAGTTAGCAATGCTTAGCAACAACAAATATGCACCGTCCGGTTAGACTAGACACACATAACTTCAATAAAAATATTTAATGTTCACTTTTTGTTTCACAAGGGACACAAACCACCGACTCCTGGTTCACAGTCTGGGTTCTGGCCTTCCATTCACCCCAACCACCTCCTTACTCAGTCTTTTCAGTTAAATATCCTATACCTGCCTTTTCCGTTAAAAACTGCCGCTACTGCATTGAACTATGACTCTAAAGGGATCCCCAGTGCGTTACAAACTGACGCCGATGGGTCTCCCCGTTGACTACACTGACATTGGAAAAATGATTTTCTATCCCAAAGTGTCGATAAACTCCACTTTTTTCTAGAGCTCAAGTTAGTTAGTATCAGATAATGTCTGATCCTAACCAGTCTGTAAGGGTTAGGGCAGTCTTGTTTTGGCTCTGAACTCCAGCACATTGGATTTGAAATGAAGCAGCGACTGTGAGGCTAAAGTGCTGACTTCCCGCTTTAATTCAGCAGTGTTTACATCCACATCTGATGAATCAGAAATGGTAGCCCTTTTTATACACATTCCCCCCCAGGGGTAAAAACGAGTCCTATGTTGTTCACCCAATATAGATGTGAACACCCTCAAGCACCTTTAAAGCTGAAAGTCAGCACTTTAACCTTAAAGTCATTGTTTCATTTCAAATCTGACATGTTGGAGTAATGCCAAAAACAATGAAAAATATGCCACTGTGCCACTAACACTTACACAGTGCAACATACTTACACTGCCTTACACTGCCATTATACTGATCCAAGAATAGCAGCAACACGTGTCACTTAAATGAAGCTAGGGAGCATGAATAAGTGATACATACCAATAATAAACCATATCATCTTCCTTCTCCTCCTCCTCTACCTCCTGTTCTTCATCTTCTCACCTTCTCACTCATCTTTCACTTGTGTCCATGGAAATCAGTAGAAATCCACTGAACTTAGGAGAGAATTTTAAAGACATCTTTCACAAGAGAGCCTAATGGTAATGGTAAAGACGAGTCCCATGAAAGCAGCAAATAAATCTAATTAGAGGGGAGATATGCTCATGCGCCTGTAGGGTGAGGATTAGCCAGCTGCTGTTATGCAATCCATACTTGTCAGAAACTACAATCTGACTTGTGTTGCCTGGGATATTGAGATGTGCATTAGCACGGAGGAGATTATCATCATGAAGGATGGCAAGCTGTTTCTCTCCTCCATTCTCTCATTTAGTCACTTGCGCATTCAAATCTTCTACATGATGAATCACTTCCGTTGCATAAACAAGAGGTGTGCTGAGATGCTCTCTAAAAAAAAGTTCTGAACGAGGCTTTTCACTGTTTCACACCTCATCAGTGAGACTTTGGATTCTGTGTGCATCCAGATGTTTACTATGCTGCTGGTGAAGTGACTCAACTTCATGAAATGTCATCAGTGAACAAACCTGTATTAAAGTTCATTCAAATACAGTAAAAATAGAGATAGTTGCATGTGGTTGATCAGATTAAAGCTGCTCAAATCAATATTTTTAAATTAACAACGGATCAAATGTGTAACATAAAAAATCTATTGCTCTTAGTGATGAACCCACAGAAAAGCATCTCCCAACTCCGCAATTCCCCTTTTCTCTATGGAGCATTGTAACGTCTTTCAGCTCGTTGTTTTGGTTTTCTGGCCTGCAACTTTACTGTTTTAGGTCAACAACAAAGTGACGATAAACCCACTACTTGAACAGCACCACACAGCAAACAGAGTTAGTGACTGCTGGCGAACAAAGTTGATTTTAGCTGCTAATTAAGGACCCTTTAGGAGTTGATGGAGACCAAGACAGAGCTGGAGGAGAGTGACTTACGTTCGCTGGGTAGCCAGATATATGTCACCAAAACAAATGCAAATGTTGCTATGTATCTGGATGTGCATAGAGGTGTGTAGGTGTAACAATCCAGTCCAGCAGATGGCCAGCATTTTTTGCTGGCTTTAGGAAACATTTAGGAGTTAACTTGCGGTTAGTTTTTCTATTGCCATACAGTGCAGATTGTACTTAAGTTACTGTACTCTTGATTAAGTCACATAACAATAAAGAGATTTGAGATTGCTTCAATTTCAGACAACGAAAAAAACCCAACATTTTTTCCAAAGTTATTCACTGTATATTTCCACATTTCAACAAAAATTGTCAAAGGTCTCATATCCTTGTATCCTGAATTGGCTGACATAACGAGGTTTACTCTCAAGCCAGCATTCACTTGGTGTAAATATATTTCCTTTTTTTTTTCTTCAGATAGTGAATATTAAATTTTGGAATTAAATAGTCCAATGAATTGTGCATCTTAAAAGGCTAGAACTAAATTTTGCTTTTAGAGCATTTCTCAGCCTTACCATATTACAGCCATAACTGTTTCTTCTCTTATGGTGCAATGCTGAAAAGTAATAAAGGAGAGGAACTCAATGGCAACTCAGTTAATACTCCCACAGCATTTTACTCAGGATAAAATATTGGAAGCTAAAATGGCACCCCAGAGATGCATATACAAATAGCCTGTGAGGGAAAGTTTTCGCTCTTTCTCTCTCCTTCCCCTTTAGTCTCCAATTCTCTCTCTCTCTCACCATCTCCTCTGTCTTTCAATAGCCTCCCTTCTTTATGATTGTACGACTCACCCAGCATCCTTAAACTCTTACAGTTTCTCTCTCTGTCTTAGGGCATTGTTAGGCATCACTCTGTAAACATTCTGAAAGTGGAAACTTTCTGGTGAACGTGGTCTTGGCAGTCAAGCATAGCAAAGCAAAATATCCTTCCTTTTCCCACAGTGGCAGTCTGCGCTGTCTCTTAGCTGACATGTTCAAATCAATAATTCACATCTAATGTTGGTGTGTCTCTGTGTGTATGTGTGTGTGAGTGTGTCTACATGCATGTGATTGTTTTTGAGACCGCTATCAGCCATCAGAGAGGCTTCGGTGCTCTGTGCTCTGTGTGTCTGACAGATCGACATGTAGGTTTATCAGGCAGATCCTTGGTCTGATATCATTTTCACAGGCAATTAAAGTCAGCAGCAGGTGCTGGATCTCGGCTAATAAGGACTTAGATAGTCTGTACAAGATTAATTGACAGAAAAGAGAAAAAAATACAGAGCTGTTAGTTCAAGACAAGAAAATGTCTGTGTTTCTGCAGGAGTATGATGGCTTGTGTGTGTGTGTGTGTGTGTGTGTGTGTGTGTGTGTGTGTGTGTGTGTGAGCTGTGAGCTCGCCCGTGAACACACATTTAGGTGTGTGACAAGGCCAAGTACATTAATATTCTCACGCACAAGCAGATTGGCCACTGGCACTATTATCTTTGTAGAAAAACAAAATGAACACCACAATCGGTTTCCAAAATGGCCTCGGCACGGTGCAGCGGATAATCATATAATTTGCAGATTTAATTGGAAATATAAATCCCAATGCACACACCATTATGGGCAGCTTTGATATACACCTTGCCGATTGATGCATGATGACACCTCGCAAATGTGGAGGGTCACCCATGTCACTTTTAAATATCGCAGCACCCTGGGAAACCTGATTGGAGCACCAACAACACATTTAAATAGCTGTCCTCGCATATTGCTGAGCGAAATTACCTCTTCAACTGTCTCTTTCTGCTGCAGATTAGATTGGCTATTTTTTTTTCTCTGGTCATTTTCTCCGTTTGACAGAGCATGGCATGGCTCATGTTGTTGTTGCTGTTGTTTTTTTGCTTTAAATTTTACTAATACAGTTGGCGAGCTGTATTCCAACATTTCAGTCTTGTATTATATTGGGTGTGTGATAGCGCTATTATATCATTATGATATTTCATCTGGCAGTGGGGGAGTTCCTGTGCACTGGTCCACCTGAAAAGGCTGCAGGCTCCCTGTACATCTCCATACAGTATTGCAGAGTGTAATGCTTTATCAATAAACCACTGGACCGTTTGCTGTTTTCATAATGGAGTCATGAAAGCAAGTCCTGGCTCCTAATTACCAAGGCAAACAGAGCTTGGCAGCAATTCAGAGGAAAAAGTCGAGGAGAAAGGGGGCAGAAGGAAGAGAAGGGGAAGGACACAAGAAGAAAAAACCTTAAAAGAACACAGTTTGCCAGTTCATTCCCAACCCAAAGCTAATTAAATCTGCTGTAACAGGAGGAAGTTTTTGTTATGCCTAAGAGACCCACCTCGGAGCTGGTACCAAGATCCCTATCACTGACTTATG